ATCAACAACCCCCCACCTAATCTGAAGCAAGTTCAAAATTTCAATAGGTTATATAAAACACCCAAAAGAACTAAAGAAAAACTTCCAAGATCGTGAATTATCCAGCTTCTTGTTCATTTTTCTCTCTCCTATTTTCAACCACACAATCTTCCATAAAATAATATTACACGTTAATCGAAAAAAATTTCTTCTTTTTCGACCACTCATTTAAAAAAAAAATACTATGCTACCCATTTTCATTTCCACAAAATAGGGGCCAAACGGGAGCTTAGCTTCCTTTGCCCTCCCTTTTAGTTGGGTTCACTTGGGGTAAACTTTGTAGAGTTAAATATCTTATTTAAGAGCTATATAAGAAGTATTAAGGATTGGGATCGTGAGTGATACTTAATGGTGAAGAAAAATGTGATTAAAGGAGAAGTATCCTCAAGCATGATTTTGTACTACATTCTGATTTTGTACCTATCTTTGGATGATTTGCATGAAACTTAGGGATAATGTACCACATATAGGAAGTCTTAAAGGAGTGGTAGACGTGGATAATGCTTAAGGATGAAGGAATTGACCATTACAAGGACAAATCATAGGCATGACACACTAAGCATGAGTCACACTATTGTGATTAAAATCTGATTTTGTACTAATCATTGTAGGTACAAATCAAGTATCCCCGGTTTATTTTAATGCCTTTAAAATCCATTTTACTTGCCTTAAGATCCCAAAATATATTACTAAGCTTATTCCTTAACCGTTCATTTATTTACTTACCCGACTCTAGCCAACTTTAGTGATTTGCACATCAATATCTATAACGTCATATGAAACATATTATTGCGTCATGATCACTTCGTGCTTCATGTCCCAATATTTCAACTACCTATCTAAGGTTTAAGGTAACTTTGATCAATCAATTAGAAAGCTTGAAACTTTGTCGATACTTATTCCGGCCTTTTCAATATTTGCATTGCTTAACAAGTCAATCTCCAACTTTTAGATTAACCAAATTTTCTATCATAACTCAATGTAAAATTCACCAGCTAGGTCGAGGAGTCAAAGACTTAAATATTAAAACCTCAATAATCTAATACACCATTTTAAGAGAAAGCAATTAGGAAAAATTAATGTAAATGACATTGTAAATAGCATGAAATGCCTGAATTATTGGCCAAATGTGTCACATGAAGTTCAAGATATCACATTATAAGACCGAAAGAACAGCCCACAACACAACCTACAGGTCATCATCCATGTACATCGAACTCTGGAACCCCATAAGAGCACCTGAGCTATATTTGACCTCTATGAAGTCCCAAACTCACCTATGTTGCAAGAACTACATAAACTAATGCTTAGTAAGCAAAAATATATATTTCATGAGTATGAGTAACAATAATATATGACACGATGCTATTTACTTTAAACATTATGCTAAAGATGCGTCATATTCAAATATTCATCAAAATCAACTCGAAATAACTTCATTTGAAATCTTTCGTTGGACCCTTGACACACCAACTATGCACCGGATAAAGCTCTACATAATATCAATATCAATATGAATATTCAATAATCAAATGGCTAATATAAAATTGACAACTGCGAGTGGACCACCCTCTTGTAACCACTAGAGGCCCATCCCCTAACTACCCAGGATCATCCAAAAAGCATCCCACCCGGCAGTACCAATAATCATAACATCATAAGGGCAGAGTCGAGTGGTCCACCCTCCCGTGATCACCAAAGACTCATCCCCTATCTGCCTTTGTAATCACCTAGGAAGTATCACCCATTATGCCAAAATATATTGCACAAGCATGCCTCACACGCCTCGGTGACCTAGTAGTGGTCTACAAATTATTTATGAGGTAAAACTCAATTTTAAGATCATGTTGTGCATGCTAGATTTTCAACCATGGCCATATGACGAGCATGCTTAGGAAAATGCTCGTGAATGACATGCTTAATCGACATCGATGTCAATATGTTCTGAAACTACATACTAAATAATTATAACCATCATATGGTATGCAATGAGCTTGTTATCAAAGTGATGAAAATGTCCCAACATTATTATCTCATAAATACTATGTTCTTACATTGTAGTTGCGTATGGATTTTTACTTAACTTTTTGCCTTTGCGTGTGATCTTCTCCCCTAATGTCTGAAGGCAACATGTATTACCATCTAATATTAAACACGATCCCTAATTCCATAACCCCAACACACAATTTTACTAAGAGTTTAGATGCCAACATATTCTAGATTAATACTACAAGTATCCAGCCATATAATTCTCGTTACTTTCCAGTTCTATGAGTATAAACATCATTAAATTGGATCATTAACGTCCTAACACTCATTCAAATCAATTTTTTTCTCAAGATTTAGAAGCATTTACTGATCATGTGATGGTAGAACTATAGAAGTCAGAAAAAGGACAAAAGTTGTTTTTTCCAATTTCTATTTCTTCCCGGTTCTCTTTTCGACCTCCTTTTTGTGTCCTTAATCACATCAATCAATTCCCAAAATTTTACCACACTTACATAACATTTAAGTGCAGGTAATCATATCATTAATTCACCGCAAGTAATCGATTTACAGCCTGAAAATCAATCCCTTTTACTGAATACTAAATCAAGAAATTTTTTTATGGCTATTTTGAGTTTCGATTAACGTACATAACTCAGGTTCTCTCCTATTAAAAGATCATTTATATACTTATAACTCATATATAGAAACATTCCAATTAATAAATACAAGTTATATTCAAGGTATTATCAAACATCAAAGGTTGAATAGACAGAATCCAGCAACTATGCAATTTCGATCCTTTTGCTTTCACTCAATGTATCTTTCTGCTTCTCTTTGTTACTTTTGCTTTCTCTTTCAATTGAGGATAACTTGAAAAGCTAAACATGTTGTTAGGAAGTGTATTGGAGTCTAAAAGCGGTTGGGGGCTCTTGCTTAAGGATTAAGAAAATTTGGGATGCAGCCAAGTTAACAAGTGTTAAGCATGAGGTCGCTTCTTCTAGCAATATTTCACTTTTTTCTTATCCTATATATATATATTGGAGACGTGCTGGATACCTTAAGGTTTAAGAGATTGGATATTAAAATGACAACTATCCCAAGCATGAGGTGGTCCTTTGTAGTAAAAATCTGATTTTGTGTCCATCCTTGCAGGTACAAATCAAGTGTCCTTGGCTTATTTTAATGTGTTTACAATCCATTTTACTTGCCCTAAGATCCCAATATATTTTGCAGAGCTAATTCCTTAACCGTTTATTTAATTACTTACCCCTTCAATAATTTTCACCTCAACATTTATAACATCAATTGGACCTTATAATTTTGTAGTTTGACCATGTCACTTCATCCTCATGTCCCAAATATGTTAAAGACTTAGTTAGCATTTAGGATAACCATGATTAACGGAATTAAAAGCAAGGAACTTTACCGGTAATGATTCCGAAACTTTCAAGATCACCATCTTTAACACATCTATATCCAATGTATAGACTAACATAATTTTCTATCACGCTCAATGTAAGATTCTCCACTTAGGTCAAGGAGTCAAAGATTAACACCATATAAAAGATCTTAAAACCTCAATAATTTAAATGCACCATTTTCATAGAAAGTAATTAGGATAATTGATGCAAGTGACATTGCAAATAGCATGAAACGCATCAATCATATTGGCAAAATGTTTAATGTGAAGTTCGGGGTATTACAATCATACAAGGCTGCACCTATTTCTAAGGCCCTTTACAGAAAATGGCACCAAAAGCACTACAAGAATTAAAGGCACGAATAGAAGAATTGTTAGAGAAGGGATTTATTCAGTGTATCACATGGGGAGATCCAATTGTTTTTGTCAAAAAGAAAGACGGATTGATGAGGATATGCATTGATCATCGAGAACTAAACAAGATCATTATTAAGAACAAGTATCCTCTTCCAAGAATCGAGGACTTGTTTGACTAGCTTCGAGGTGCAGTCGTATTTTCCAAGATTGATTTATGATCAAGATACCATCAACTAAGAATCAAGATAGATGATATCTCGATGACGGATTTTGGGACTGAATGCTTTTGAAGTATTCATGGACTTGATGAACTGTGTTTTTAATGATTTTCTTGACCGATTTGTCATTGTATTTATTGATGACATACTAATTTACTCAATGAGTGAAGAAGAGAATGAGGAATACTTAAGGATTGCACTGAAAATCTTGAAGGAGGAATAGAAGTTGATCCAAGCAAAGTGGAGGCAATTTTTGAATTGGGTAAAGCCAACCAATGTTGGGATTCGCAGTTTTCTGGGTTTAGCTGGATATTATTGGAGATTCATTAAAGGGTTCTCAAAGACATCTGGACCGTTAACACAGTTAACTCGTAAAGGTGCAAAATTTGACTGGATCGAAAAGTGCGAGTGTAGTTTTGAAAAATTGAAGCAGAGATTGGTGAACGCGCCAGTGTTAAAATATACCAGAAGGAAAAAAAGGTTTTGTAATTTATAGTGATGTATCTAAGCATGGTCTAGGATGATCACGACTTAGAGCTTGTTGCAGTCGTTCATGCTCTAAAAATTTGGAGACTACCTGTGTGGGGGGCAAGTGAGACATTTATACAGACCATAAAGTCTTAAGTACATTTTCCCTTAGAAAGAATTGAAAATGAGACAGAGGAGATAGCTTGAGTTAGTGAAGAACTATGACTGCGAATTTCCATTATCAACCAGGCACGACGAATATGTTAGCATTTAAGCAAGAAGACAACGAGTCAACTAGCGATGTTGACCGCACAAAAGCCTTTATGGAAGGAGCTCTGCTTAATGCTGCGGCTCAAATGACAGCATTATTGGTCCGACAACACACTTTGTGACAGAATTAAGACTCATCAGAAGGGCGACTGGTCCTTGGAATTTATTGAGGTTGAGATAGAGGCAGGAAAACAAAAGGACTTTACCATAATTGACAATAAGGCATTGTACCATCAAGGATGGCTATGTGTACCAAACTTCGAGGTTTGAGAAAGGAAATATTGGAGAAGGCTCACGTTCCTCCGTATTCAATGCATTTAGGAAGTACCAAACTATACCAGGATCTAAAAACAATGTTTTGGTGGAGAGGAATGAAGAAGGACATAGACATGTATGTTAAAAGATGTTTAACATGCCAACAAGTGAAGGCCGAACACCAACGACGTTAGTATTACTGCAGTCCTTAAATAAACTTCAATGGAAATGGGAATATGTGACGATTGATTTTGTTGTAGGATTGCTGAAATAAGTAAAAGGTTAGGAGGCCATTTGGGTTAATGTTGATCGATTAACCAAGTGTGTTCATTTCTTACCAATCCGCATGATATTTTCTATGGACCAATTTGCATAGTTGTATATTATAGAAATGGTGAAGTTGCACGGTGTACCAGTTTCAATCATATAGGACAGAGGTCCAAGGTTCACAATAAACTTTTAGAAGAGTTTACATTTGGCTATGGGGACTAAATTGAACTTTAGTGTATTTCCACCCTCAAATAGATGGTCAATCTAAACGGGCAATTAAAACATTAGAGGACATGCTTCGATCGTGTGTTTTAGAGTTTGGTGGACACAGGGAGAAAGATCTACCTTTAATTGAGTTTGATTATAACTACAGTTATCACACCTTTATTGTTAATGTCACCCTATGGTATGGGAGGAAATGCAGATCACCAATTCATTGGGTTGAGGTTGGCGAGCGTGAGATTTTGGGTCCAAAGATCATTGAACAGACTGTACTCGCTATCGAGAAGATAGTATTAAAAAGGCTCAAGGCAGATATAAAAGCTATGAAGATAAGAGAAGAAAGGGCTTGCAATTTCTTAAAGGTGACAAAGTATCCACAAAGTGGGGTCTATAAAGAGAGTATTACGTTTCGGTGAAAAGGAAAATTGCAACCAAAATTCATTGGCCCATACGAAATCTTAAGGTGCATTGGAAGTGTCGCATATCAGTTGGCCTTATCCCCTCCCCCTGAACTCCTGTACATGATGTATTTCACATGTCCATGCTTAGGAAGTACGTTCTTGATCCAAGCCATGTAGTGAATCATCAATCAATTGAGGTACAACACGGTTTGAGTTATAAAGAAGTACCAGTCAAAATAACGGAAACTGATTTGACCACATGATTAAAAATAGTGATTTTACCATTTTAATGACAATATACCATTGAAGCATCAACCACGCCTAACATCTACTCATTTTCTTTCACTTTTATACACATGGCCAAGAATTTTCACTATAAATAGGAGACAAAACCAACACTTGTTTATGTTTATGGTGACTAATGTTTATGTATGTAATATTATTTCTATGGTTATGTTATTTTCGGTCTAACTTTCGTGTCTCCCTATGCAACTTATGCATTTTTCATAGAAATACATACATGAATTCATTATCCTCGCGCTTTTATTGAGAATTATTCTCACCCCATTATGTTTCTACTTTCAGATAATTAACAATTTAAGGCAGTTGGCACGAAGATTGCTTATGGTGGCAAAAATTTCAATAATAAATTATTACGTTGTCAAACTATTATTTCATTTGATTTTAAACGTTTTAAGTATTTCTCATTTCAAGTTAATTTATTAAATTCATTACATTATTTGAATTTTGGTAAGTGCTTTAATAATTTATATGATTATGTTGAATATTCTTTAAATTAGTTTTAGTTCACTGACGCTCAAATCGTTAAGGATTCAAGTCGACAAAATAAGCATCTTCAAAATAAGTTCCCTATAAATACTTGCCTAATCACCTATGATGTACATATATAGTATCTTACGAACAAATAATATATAACCAAATTCCAACATATTTACATTGAGGATAAGAGAAGTATCTGCCATACCATTTCAAAAGCCATATATATACAATACAGGATTCTCAAAATATAATACAGTAGATTATATGTAATACTCCGAATTTTGGGCTCATTTAATTTTTAGAATAGCAATTTAACTTTTCAAAATTTAGTATGACCAAAAAATTATTTATGGTCGCCAAATTTTACATTGGTTTATTTATTAAAAGTTTTTCCAAATAATTTGTTAATTAGGGGTTTGGGATAAATGTCCATTTTACACCTAATTACTAAAGTTAAACATTGTTTCTCCAACTTGGCCGAAAATTGATGAAACATACATGCATGAGGTGTTTTAAATTTAAGCATGAGGTGACTAACTAATGCATGAGGTGTTTTAAATTTAAGAAAGTGAAACCATGCAGCCTACACATGTTGAATTTCTTGAAGAGTCACCCAAAATTTATCATTTTTCTCACCTATAAATAGATGTGTTGCTTACCTTTATTTCCCTTGCATGAAAAACAACTTATCACTTATTTGAAAAAGGGAAGAAAACGTGAGGGAAGAAGAGGACCAGCCTAGCATTTCTCAATTCATTTTCAACCAAGATTTCTTCAAGTTTTATTGTAAGATATTTTCTATGCTTAAGTGGTATGATTTCATGGTAATATTTATTCTTAAGCTATGCATGAAAAACCATAATATGAATGTGGTGGACAAGTCCACAAAGTTAGATATCTATTTATGCCTTAGGACAAGTTCGAAGGGCATCGGCAAGCCGGAATGTGCAAGTATGTGTTTGATTGCATTCTTTTGTGTAGTATTAACATGTTAAAATCCAAGCATGGTATCTTACTGAGTATTCTTTATACTCATAGTGTTCTATACTAAATTCTCAGATTCATAATTGCGGAGTTGGTGGAAGTCAGTCGGCATAATCGATGATGGGTTAGGGACAAGGTTGTTTTGCATCGAAGTTTTGTTTTTCCATGTTTTGTTTGACTGCTTTCCATATGTTTTCTTATGGTATTGTATAAAAACATGTATGAGACATGATGTAATATGGTACCGGAAATAAATTATACAATTATATCTTCTATGTTGTGTTAAGAGACCTTTTTTTTAAAAACTTCTCCTTGCAAGTGACAAAAGGCAGAAACTGGACAGTTTTTGGGTCAACTTCAACACGTTATTTTTGACTCCATAAACGTCCAGTTGAGACTCTGAAAACATTACCAGGTTCCTCATTGAGTTGTCTTAATATGGGCACAAGAATCACTCAATTTGGATATCTGTAGCCTAAGATATGAATTTTTAAACGTTGAAGGGTCAAATCTGAAATTTTTGTGCAATACCTAACTGTTTTCAGTAAAACGCCCATATAATATGATCTTGGAAATTTTTTATATTTTAACCTAGATAACTACTTGAAAATATCTTTCCAATGTCATAAATTTCATAGAAAACGGAGTTGGGATGAATTTTATAAAAATAGTCGAACTTGGTGCCCCAACTAACCGTGGCAGTGTAGAGTCCGTATATGTAAAGTATAATTTCTTGTCGACATGCGCTTCTGCGGGCCATTAAAAATTTATGAGAGACATTTTACCAAGTTGAAAATAAGTTTCTAATATGTAATACTTCTATTTAAGAGTATTTACATGTACCAAAGGTAAAAGCTATTATATTTTGTACGTGACACTCGAAACTTAAGTTCGGGGCGTCACAGCGTGGTATCAGAGCAGTTATACTTTTTTGTAGACTTTTTTTTAAAGAAAGTTACTGTCCTTCATCATCGAGCAAGCTAGCAACTGACTTTCAACCGACGATCAAGGTAAAAACTTTTTTTTAAAGTTTATGAGTTTTCTTATGCAATGAACTGTTATATCTATGGCTGGATATAGGAATATTTTGAATCAAGTCATGGTTGAGATTATGAAGTCATAAACACATATATCTAAATATTTATTCGAGCCTTGTAGAGTAACATAATCAATTTTTGTCCTAGTTATGGCACGAACGGTAAGAACCCCCACAAGGACAGAAGTTTATGGTTTTGCAAAGAAGCTGCACATATTATTGGCATTTTACTATAATTATTGTATGCAGATGCTCCATAGCCTCGAACAAATTCTTGATCTGCTAGACTGTATTATTGAGATGTTATGGGAGATACACCATAGCTTAAGGGATAAGGTGAAAATACGGAGGTTATATGAAACTGTTCCAGAACCTTGGGCCTCGGTCATAAATGAGATTGTGCTATGGTCTGACGATGACCTTTCATACGAGGACCTTACATATTTACTTCGAGAAAGTTATGAAACTAGCCGCGATTTACATCGAAACTTTAAGAAGACTATAACCTTATCCATGAATACTAGTTTACAAGCTACCAATTCTAGGCTAGATAAGGGACCGTTGGCTAAGTGCTTTTCGAGAGTTCTAGATGAAAGTTTTCCCGTACCATTACCAGGTAATTCGGAGCAAAGCATGTTAGAGGAAGGCCTAGAGGAAGACCCAGATGAAGACCCTGATGAGGATCCAGAAGAAATAAAAGATTAGACACCATCTTATCTAGCTATCTTTGTTTTTTTTCTTGGAATAGAATAGGATGTAATATGTACAGACTTTTGAATGTATGTACCGTACCTCAATATGACTTTTGTTTGTGAAAAATAATAATGTATATATATGAAGGAAAGTTGCCTTGGCCTTTGGATTTTTTTTCTAAAGTTAGTATTACGTTCTGAAGTAATTCTAATTGGATGAATATTTTTCATTCAAAGGAAATGCCTCCAAAGCGCAACCACGGCAGTACACCAAATTCAAATATGAACTTAGGCGGCGGCAATGCTAATGCTAGTTCTAGTGGTGGCGAAGTTAATGCAGCAAACTTTGCACGAGAACTGCTTACCGTAATGCGGGAATTGGGACAGCAACAACAGGCACCACCTTTGACTAGGCAACGAACCTTAAATCAACAAGTACCAGTTAATCATCAGGAGCCCAACCAACCAGCTATTCAACCTCAAATAGTACCTAACTCGAGGGATCGAACTGCAATGATAGAGCAGTTTTGTAAAATGAACCCTCCATCGTTCGAAGGGAGTATGGATCCCTTAGCAGTTGAGGATTGGTTAGGAGAACTGGAACGTATCTTTAAATTTATAAGATGCGAAGATGCTGAAAGGGTAACATTTTCAGTGTCTATGTTAAAGAAGGGGGCTAGCCATTAGTGGGACATGACTGCCAGGTCATTAACACCTGCTGAAGAACAGGCTATAAGTTGGGTGAGGTTTAAGGAACTCGCAGAAGAAAAATTCTTCCCGGTAGCTGTGAAAGATCAAAAGGAGATGGAGTTCCTCAGACTCTAACAGGGAACCATGACCCTCGTGGAATATGAATGCAAATTTGAGGAATTATCAAGGTTTGCTCCACATCTAGTGGATATGGAGGAAAAGCGGGCTAGAAGATTTTAACGTGGGCTTCAACCTTATATTCGTGACATATTGTCAGTTTTTGAGCTGAGCACTTATCGAGAAGTCCTGAAGCGAGCCCAGACTATTTCTTATCAAAGAACTCAAAACGTTGGAAATTCTTACCAAGTTTAAAATTTCTCAGGTAAGAGGAAGTAGAACATTGATAGACAGAATAACGGTAAAGGAAAAAGGAATAATGCACTAAAGAAAGGAAAGACGAAGATAGTAGGAGTGGGTGGTGATAAGCGTTGTCCTAAGTGCGATAGACCTCACAAAGGAGAATGTCTATTGGAAAAAAATGTTTGTTTCAAGTGTGGGAAATCAGGACATTTCGCTAAAGAATGCCCCCAGAATCAGACACAGAAGGTTGGAGATGACAAGAAAGGAAAAGTAAGAGTTTTCTCCTTATCTAGACAAGAAGCAGAATGAGCCCTAATGTCCTCGTAGGTATCATCTCTGTTTCCAATATGCCTGCATTTGTACTTATAGATTCTGGAGCTACAAATTCGTTCATTTCTTCTTCGTTTGTTGCAAAGTCTAAAGTGAAATGTGAATTCCTTCCGTATACCTTAGAAATATCTCTTCCATCTGGA